GCGAGGGAGCGCGGGCACCTGGCCCCCCTGAGCCTCGGTCAGCACCGCCGTCCTGACCGGCCTGATGAGAACATGCCACGGCCTCAATCATCACTTACCGGCCTCTGAAACAGAAACCAGCTGCGGCATACCGAGGCGGCGAGATTTTTTCAATTACTGCACTGCACACTTAGTTAGCTCCTACATTTAATAAGCGCAGCAGCAGTGCATCGGCAATGAAATACTGCATTTTAAATGCGCGTGGCAGCTGAATTATTAATGCTTACATGGCCTCGTGTCTTTAATTTGTAGAACAAGATTATAGAACTGAACAATATACATTTGGTATTCAAAGCTTTGCTTATCTACCGTCAACAGGCCAAGTGAAATAATAACCCGTATTGGACAATGCAGCAGTTTGAGCTGCAAATGGGAATATTTTATGCGTTGCTTAAAAGTTTCCAGCCTGATGCGGGTAATAAATCAAAAAGTAAATGATAAACAATAAATCTGGATTAAAAGAAAAGGATCCCAACGGTTTCTCTTAAATACAGCAGATTAGTTATTACCTATCACAGCTCAATCAGCGCAGTAAGACGCAGCGATTATCAGCTGCCGGGCTCCTGAACGCCGAAGAAGGCAATTAGTGTAGCGCCGCAATCAGTGTGGAGGCACAGTGTGACACAGAATCAAAAGGTTCAATCTGCAGCAATGATTTGGAGAGAAATCAGCCGACAGTTCGGGAATACCTCTCAGCCACTTCCTGCTGTGCTGCAGTGACCTACTTAGCATGATTTCATTTATTTAAAAAAAACAGTTGCAGGAATTTCCAGAGTCTGAGCAATCCTTTTCTGGGATAGAGGGACAGCTCACGACGATGCCATGTTTGTGGGAACCACGGCTTATCTGTCTGTCATCATTCAAAGGCTCCGCTTGGTCTCAGAGCACCAACACAACATCTGAGATGAAAGCAAAGGAAATAAATAAATACATCTAAAAGCAGTGGCTGTTTTGGCGCTCAGTTGGATCAGCTGCAGCAATCTCACACTCGGCTCTTCCTCTTTTCAGAGGAAATTTATGTTAGTACAATAAACGGAGAGGCATCAAAAGGGAAGCGTTATGCAACGTGGACTGGAGCGGCTCCCCATCGAAAAAAGGGAAGGAATGCTTCTCCAAATTGGAGGAAATTGAAAGAAATGCGCTTCGGAGGGCGTGTCGGCGTTCGGGGATTGCTTGTTTCAGTGTGGCAACTTCATTCGCATTGGAGTTTGTCCTGTTTTTGTTTGCGGTCTTCACGAGAGCAGAGTTGTTTTGTTTTATAGTTTGTGATTAAGATCTCTTATCAGATGGCGAGGGTTGTTAGGATTACGTAATGTTTGCGCTCGTAACAAATCTCTGGTTTTCAGCAGGCTGCCACACAACGAACAGAGAGCTGTGGCGTGTCCACACCCACTCCTGGGGGAAACCGACCGACATCAGATTGAAGTTAAAATATACAACAAATCCAAATGGGGGGAGAAAAAGAATAAAGTCCCAGAACCAAAGTTGCTTAAAGTCCCAGTCAGTATCACCTTTCTTTCTCCCTTTTCCCTTTCACTTCACTTTGCAGGAATGTTCGGTAAAGAACGTGGAGGAGGTGGTACCGCTCAGCCTCGAGCTCCAAACAGAAACTTATCAAGCTGATCCGATGATGCTCTTTAAGTTCTGCTGCTGTCATCGAAAGGAAGCTGGAAGCCAAACGCATCAAATCATACAAGAACCGGGCCGTACTGAAGTCGGTCGTAAGGTTGACAAGACAAAATAGGTTTTCAAAAAAAAAAAAAAAAAACAGGATTGTTGCTAACCAGGTCTAGAACGGGTTTAGTTTTTGTGAAACTAAAGTAATTTTATTCATGAGTTATTTCCATTTAGAGACTCTTAAATAACACAGTTGAGCGTGTTGATTGTTATTGTTGAGAATCATTGAATAAAAGTCTTCTTACCAAGTTTTAAAGAGTTAACATTTCAAATATTCTAAACTTTGTTGTACCATTCGTACAGCTGCACACTGCCAATCAGCTGGCTCCTAAAGTGCTACGCTCTTCCCTCAATCACAAGAAATATTAGTATGACTGGAAGTATTTTCAACCTCAGATTGACTGCCGTTACGTCTTTCCTTTAAAAACGTACCGACTAACAAAAGGCCATTGGCGTGTTTGCTGTAATAAACTTAATATGCCTAGGTGTGTAATTCATTAGCACGTACGTTACACACCAGTTTTTAATTACAAAAGCAACACAGATCTGAATTAAAGCTCATGTCTGTTGACATTAGCTGAAAAAGAACTGTTTGCTGATTATATCTTTGTATTATGGTTTTATATCTAGTGGAAAAAGCAAATGCACCAGAGAAATAGTCATGACTTCAACTGAATTCAACTAGAAAACACCCAACCAGATCTGATAGTTGCCTACACCAAGTTTTTTTTTTTTTTTTAATTATTATTATTTTTGTGCTTAGTTTATGGCTCATTTTATCCATTTACTTTGCAGGGGTTTCCCAGAAATGAGCTCGGTGATGAAAGCCTCATCGGTAAAAACTACTGCAGTAGGTCTGAGCATGAGCTCAACTTCAGTGACATCACTTTGTTGTGGGCCGTTTCCTAATCCCAAAAGGGGGATTGTCCATACAGTAATCCACCAAAAGCAGAAGAAAGGATGTATTAATATAAACGGCCCATCGCCAGGCTTGATTTAGTGGTTTTACATTCAGTGAGTCACACTGTCGGAATAGAAACCTTCTGCACAATGGGCTTCCTTTAAAGGAGATAGTCAAGACATTCAGATGAATCTAATTATATCTACTTTCCAGCAAAATCTTATCTGAAAAAGCCACCCTGCTGACAAGCTAACACAGGCTGATACAGATAAACGCAATGAAGTCCAAACACATCAAAGAATATATACAGCTTACTAAAACCAGAATGCTTTGCGTCTCCAAAACCTTCCAGGCAAGTCGGAGTCAGCATCATTCTATCAGTTCCCAACCGTTTTTAATTAATCCATTCATTCTGAGCTCGGAAATGATTGCTCTACTTCCAAACTTATATGCATGTCTGTAGAACCACTTAAAGGTTTCTGTGAAATTTTCCGGTTCCACAATGAAAAAGGAAAACAAAAGAAGCAGGTGTGCGACGTTTGTGGCTGCTCGCTGGTGTTCGACTGCGACATTCCACTTACTGAATTCAGCAGGTGGTTCACGATAAACGCTGAAAAGCACGTCCGTGTTTGGTCTGTCTGGGTGAAACGGTGTGTCGGAGTGACAACAGCAGCGTGTGTGTTCTGCTGGAATCATCTCTTTAGACCCTGAATTAAGTTGAGTGTTGGGCGAACTCTGGCACCCCCTGCTCCGATTCACAACGCAGGCTTATGGCGATTAGACAGGATTGTCTGCAAATCGCTCAGACGATTCAGGATGATAAAAAAAAGCAGCGTCGGGCTTCCACTGTATTCACAGGAATGAGCCACTACAACCACAATACCACCACAGTGGGCACAAATTCATCTGAATATTAAAGTTGACATTACAGACACAATGTTTGAAACCTGTTGTCTCTCAAGGAGAACGACTTGAATAATTAACTGGCTGCAAACTTGATCACTAAAAATGCAAACTGGAATATGTACTAAGAAAATCAACGTTTGCTTTGAATAAGTTGGAAAATAATAAAAAATGCAAATATCTCATTTACGGGCTGTATTTAGGGGTTAAGGACAAGATAGTCTGTTTAAAAGGAAAACAACTTTTCAGGCAAAACCAAAAACTGTTCAAAATATCAGTATCTCTCAAAATTGGCAGGTCAGGCTTTTTCATTTAAAAACATCAAAATATCTTGATATGAAACTTTGGGCCAATATTAACATTCAACACTTATATAGTTGTTATGGACAACAACCAATATTTACAGATATTACATGTATTTTTCACAACCGTTTTGACATCGTCGGGTTGAGAAAAAAAAGGTATCAGAACAGACGACAAAAAGATTAAAAAAAAGAAATAAAGATGGGTTGTTTATACCGGCAGAAATTTATCTGATCGACACGTTAAAAGACAGCAAATGTCAAGTAAAATCGATGTTGGTGCATTCCTAGTAGGAAACAGACAAAATAAATTGCTCAAGAGGTGTGAAGACTTTCTCTACGCTCTGCAGAGTAAGGAAGACAAATAAGGAAAGACCATGTGGCTGAATTTTCATGTCAGATTACAGGGAGGGCGGCGGGTTCGTCTATCTTTCCAGCAATGTTTTTTTTTTTTTTTTTTTTTTGTGAAGCTAATTCGTTTGATTATTCATTTGCTTCCATCCCCGTCTCCTCATCTTGCCTTTAGCTCGCACTGAGCCAATTAATTTCTGCGCACTCCAGAGCCGTTTCAATCACTCCGAGCTTTGTGTCCGTCGCGTGCGTCCTCGGTTCCTCCGCGTGCCGTCTCGATCCCACACACGTTGGCTTTCCTTCTGATCAAACCGACGACGCGGACATGAATAAAACATTCTAATGTGTTTGTATTTACGAACATGCCAGACAGAGTTGAGTAATAACGCTGCTTATTGATGTAGCCTGCACAGACGGCCCTGGAGGGGTTTGTGTGTGTGTGTGGGTTTCTGTACGTGTGTGTGTGTGTGTGTGTGTGTGTGTGTGTGTGTGTGTGTGTGTGTGTTTGTGCTGCAGATCTGATCCACTGCACCAATGAGATGAACGTCAACATTCCCCAGCTGGCAGACACTCTTTTCGAGAGAACAGCCAACTCGAGCTGGGTGGTGGTCTTCAAAGCCCTCATTACCACCCACCACCTCATGATGTACGGCAACGAGGTACGGGATACACACACACACAC